TAGAAAACTATACACCAATCTCAACATCAATTAAAAACTCTCTTATGCATGCACATGGCTTTATGCTTTTTGGTTTGTTACACTTCAATTGTTTTACACTGTAGTCGCTCATCACTAGAGGTATCTAAGAAGTGGGGCATGCTTGCACTTGTAAATCATTTATTCAAGATCTATTTCAAGGTAACGCACAAGTTTATTTGATTCTTTTTGGTTCTTTGATAATCAGTACAATAGTTAATAATATACATGAAAAAATTAAATGCTTTGATTGGCCAAAAATGAGTGAATTTTTCTTGTAACACAATTATAAGACAGCATGCAAGCTATCAAATTGTTGTCTTTCTTGAGTTTCTGTGATGCTTTTTCATGTATTTTATTTCTGAGTAATAGTATGGTTTCTTGTACAATTTGGTCTAAAAATAAGCCCTTGTGAATGTTTTCGAAGACTAAAAATTGCACTCACCCTTTGGGCTTGTGCAATTTTGAAAAATTTACTTCTGCTAACACCAAATTAATCGAAAAATCATGTTATTGCGTATACCTACTGTCTGTTGGGCAGACACCATCAAGACTGTTAATTGGTTTCCTAGTGTGACTTTAATACATTCCTTTTCAGAAATGAGTGAACTTTTTTTTTCTTTTTTTTTTTTTTAAGAGAGAATAATGCCATAGTAGAAACAAAACAAGTCAATGTCTTTTCTCTCAATCAGATATAACATTAGATAAGGGCAAAAGTTTTGATCTCTGGCAGCACCTGCAAATTTAGTTTCTCTGCTGATCCACTGTAAATTTTAACTTGGTATTGCATGCAAGTTTAGTTTCTCTCTTAACCCACAAGGACAGTGATGGTGGAAGACAAATATCTCTCTTAGCCCATCGTGACAAGAGTAATTAGTCAGTTTAATTGTCCTTCATAGTAAGATGTATAGGACAGTTAAAAAAAAAAAAAAGACTCGCTGAGTATATGTACATGAGGTTACTTTTTCATCATGATTTATACTCAAAGAACTTTTGCTTTTTGCATCCATTGTTTTTATTTGTCATCCAGATCAATAAACTTCACTTGTGTAAGCCTCTTATCAGAGCGATAGACAGTGCACCCATAAAAGACCAGTTTAAACTGGCTCATCTGGTCACATACAGGTATGAAGATGATTTTGTGCATGGCACAGTGGTAAAAGTAATTTACTAGCAGTACTCTAGACAAAAAGTTCCTTTCCTCCCCACACTGTGTCTATATCCAGCAACCGCATGTAAAGTAATCTTGTGTTTTTCTTTTCCTCTGATTTTCATCAGATACTTTGTTGGAAGGAAAGCAATGTTTGATAGTGATTTCAAAGCTGGTGGGTACGCTTAATATTTGACAGTTTAATGGCATTTGTTTGATTTTTCATTCATGAAGTCTCAGCTAAAGCCCTGGAAATTTATGTCAAGAGGATTACAAAACTTAACAGTGACTGTGGACAGAGCTAAAAAACTCTTCTTTGCACGATGATCACACATTAGTAACAGTTTTTTTTTTCTGTGAGGAGAAATAAGAAAACATTCACGACCAAGGTGATATTATGAATCACTACGTTAGCCATCAGGAATGTAAAATTGATGATAATAATAATAATAATAATAATAATAATAATAATAATGGTAATAATAATAATACTTTTATTTAGACACGATAATGTTTAAAGCTGAACAGCTTGTGGGGTCGTGTGTAAATCTAAATAAACTCTAAATTAGATAAATTCAAATGATGATGGTTTTTGAGGAGAGGGGAAAACCGGAGAAAAACCTCACGGAGCATCGTAGAGAATCAACAAACTCAATCCACTTATGAATCGAACCCGGGACACATTGGTGGAAGGCGAGCGCTCTCACCACGACGCCAACCCTGCTCTCAGCACTGATATTGAATGTTTTAATCAACCAATTTTTTTATGTTCTTGATGTTTCAGCCGATGATTATCTATCATTTGCATTTGAACGCTGCAGCGTATCTTGCAGTAAGAACAAAAGGTAACCTTCATCCAGTATCTGCTGGGTTGGTGTCATTGAATTTAATTTCAAACAGCAACATTCAAATAACACGATGATTTCCTTTTTGTTAGAAGGAACTGCATGCCACTTGAAGCGAGAATTATTGATTAGATATGAGGAATTGAAGGGTTAATACAGAGAAAAATTTAGCCACGGCTTCTAATTGCTCTTTTTTAAAATTTGCTTTATGCTTCTCGTAGTGGTATTTGTTAAGATTGAAACATTTTCATGCATTATTCTTGGTTCTTTTCTGTCACCTTTTTTAGGGCAATCCTGATTTATCTCATACCAGTGAAAATGCTTCTGGTGAGTTATAGCATGTGCACTGAATAAAATCGAGACACTCAGGCTTAATTATTTAAACAAAGTTTAGCCATTGTCTTACAAAACTGCTTCCTGAACAATCCTCTTTTTAGCCGAATCTTTTACCTGAACATTTTTAGCGAACAGCGTCAAGAGAGCAGAAAACTAAAAGTGGAACGCTCCTTTAGAGGACGGCCGAGGCCCATTGATTGCATAAAACCTCGGTTTGGGTTAGACCTGAAAATGAAATGAAATATCCTTCAATTGAATATACGTTTCTTAACTGCAGTATGATTTTTTTTTCAAAACATTAGGGCTACATACCAAAAGAGGACTTGCTTCATAAGTACAACCTGAACCAGTTTGTTGATGTCGTTAAATCTGTTAGGTATGGAGACATACTCAGCAGCTTGTCTGATAAGGCTTGCTAATATTCAATTGATTTGTTTTTGCCTACATTTCAACAAATTTATCAAAGAAATAACTTTGAGCTGGATTTGCTATATATATATACTTTTCAGGATGGGAAATCTTGCACTTTTAAACGAGACATTAGAAAGACAACAGGTATTTCGCCAGAGTGATATCAATGAAACTTCTGCCCATAATGTCTTTACATTTTAAACGAATACGTGACCTGAACGAAGAAAACTATCATAGTCTGGAAGGTTGTGACCATTAGGAACCAACTGCAATGTCTATGCAGTTCATTTTTCATCTTTCCTCCTCTTTGATTGAAAGTAAAGTCTGTACTCGAACCCAGTGCCCCACCTAGCTGGGGCTCATTCCGGTTTCCACGTAGCATGAAGTGCTAGGAGTATTATTCCCTACGCTCCCCCATCCTGGATGCTATTCCAGTCCATCGCGAGGTTGTCCCCTCCCCCCACAGCATTTCATCAGGCTTCCCTGACGTGGGTAGAGAGAGGCTCTGTCAGAGTAAAGTGCTAGGTCTCGAACCCAGATCTCTCCAGCCGGAGTTCAGTGCAGTGGCCTTTAGGCCAATGTATAGACCACTTTCATAAATGGCTGCTGGTTTAATATTCTTTTGTTTAAATTTAAACTAGCCCTTCTGGCCTCGCTTGAGATAATGTATTCTTTTGAATTTTGTACTGGAGAACGAGGCCAGAAGGGCTAATTTAAATTTAAACAAAAGAATATTAATCTGGCAGCCATTTATGAAAGTGGCCTATAGCCTGCGTGATTTTTGCGAGCGTGTGCTTATTATTTTCTTTGCGAAAATTATGGCCGTCATCTTCGATGTTAGTGAAAGCGGAAGGCTGGGGAGAGAAAGAAATCTGTACCAAGGGGGTGAGTGACAAATAAATAATAAGAAGGGGTGAGAGTGGGGGAGTGAATGTTTCGCCTCTTCCTGCCCTCCCCTCTACCGTGGACTCTACATG